TTTTTTTTTTGTTTTGGTATATAAATTTTCCATCCGTGACGATGGAATACCCCATGGGTATGTTCAGATACATACAAATAAATAAATACTTAACAAATACAATTGATTGCAGACATCCATGGTATCATTTACTACAAGATAATTTATCGGTGTTATGTGACATTTTATTATTAATAAGTTTTTTGTGATTCGACACCAAATATCAGGGAGAATGAAGAGACGGTTGCAAAAACACGATATCACCTAGTTTATTTTAGTTTGTTTTAAGATTCTTTCGAAGTAGTTTACTCACTTTTACCACTTGATAACTAAGAAGTCGTTGTTGCAAAATCTACAGCTGAACTTAAGAGAATTTTAAATTATACCATTAAATAAATAAATTAATTTAAAATAAATAATAACAACGAAATAAAACTGAAAGTCACTGTTTGTTTATAAAATGAAGTTTTTCTTTGTTGTTCTGCATATCTGTGTGATGTACTTCAGTTTAGTTTTAGCCAACAACATTCAAGGTAAATTCGATAAACGTAGGAAAAAAAAGAACATATAAAGCTAATATAAAACTATCCACAGCAACCATAATGAATATTTCAAATACTGAAGAGGAAAATTTAAAAAGGTATCCTTACTTCAATATGTCTGACTCCCAATCAAATTGCCCGACTCTTCAGAATGCAGAATCACTAACACAGAAACAACTAATTTTTCGTCTTACCTCACCTTGTCGCTATGATCGTTTCGAAAGGCCGTGCCAAGTGTTTGACAACAAATGCTCGGCCGATCAGCCATTACATATTTATGTGCGAATTTATGTAAATGACATAGATATAACAGACTCCAGTGATTTACAGCTGAAAGTATCTGGCTTTCTTCAACTTCGTTATAAAGATTTAAGATTAGCATTTGGAGTCTATGCTCCAAATCGTGTGCAGACAATATTTGGTGATACTCAATTAAATGAACGCATTTGGGTTCCACATTTACTATTAGCAAATGAGCAAACCTCCATCTTTCTCGGAACTGGTGAGAGGGATGTTTATACAATTATTAGGCCCGACGGAATACTAATCATGTCAACTCGGATACAATCATCATTGTCTTGTGGGATTGCTTTAAATAAATTTCCCTTCGACGACCAACAATGTTATGCCTTGATTAAAAGTTGGATTTACAATTCCTCCGAGGTAATATTGCACTGGGAAGATGAAGCTGCTATTGTGTTTGATCAAAATATACAGCTAACTCATTACGCCTTACAAGATAGTTGGAGTAATGAAACTGTGGTTCAAAATAGGAGGAGCGAGTCGCATTTCTCTTTCATCGGAGGCAATTATAGCACAATCAGCTTCTCAGTTTACTTAACTCGGGACTCGCGATTTTACACAATGGCTTATTTTCTACCTTCAATGATGCTTGTCGGAATTTCTTGGGTTTCATTTTGGCTTCAAGCAGACCAGACACCAGCACGAACCACCTTAGGTACAAGCACCATGTTGTCGTTGTTTACATTAACTTCATACTATGAGAAACAGTTTCAAAGCATAAGTTACCCACAATTTTTCGAAGTTTGGTTTTTTGGATGCACGTTCTTTATATTTGGCAGCCTGATTGAATTCGCTTTTGTGAATACAATATGGCGGAGGAACCAGGGCTTGAAATTGAAGAAAGTAAACAGTAAATATATTTTCAAATCAACTTTAACCCCAAAAGTTATTCCTCGAAAGAACATATACGATTGCGAGACAGATGGTAATATCAATTTTTGTAATGAAAATAATCGGGAGCTCCAAACAGGAGGCGATGTCAAAATGAATGGCATAAATGCAAATGGGACATATGATGAAAAATGGTCAACAATGACACCCCATGAGGCTTCACTTTGGATCGATCGCAAAGCAAGATTTGTGTTTCCTTTATCATATATCATATTCAATGCAATTTATTGGACGCTGATTTTCTCGTTGTAATTTGGGGCAGTAAACCTTATCACGAAAAAGATTAATTTGTACATGTTCTGCATTAATCCAAAATTTATTATATTTGATATTATGCACTTACAATTTTCACAGACTGTAATTTACCACTTAGCAAAATGGGAAGTAAAATTTTCTTGTAACTCGTTGTAAAAACCTTAAATAACGTTTTTGAGTTTTCCGATGAACGGACAATTTTAATTTCATACGCTTTTGCCTAAAGTGTTCGAATTGTTCCAAAAAGTTTTGAGCATTTACCACGAGATATTACAGAAAGGTAAGGTAATCTAATCGATTTTGAAATACCTACAGAATATATGTGACCTGGTCTACGAAAAGGGAGCTTACGTACGAAAACTAGTTTTCTGTGAAAAAGCTGTTAAAAGTAAGCAACTCGTTTCGTCAGAGTCTCATTATCTCGTTAATTGTTCTCCGCGCCGGACGTCCAGTAAGTGTTGTTGTTGGTCCAGTAAGTGTTGTTGTTGGTCGGAATATTATTATAGTTCATCGTGTAAGTTGCTAGTGTGGAACATTTAAAAAAGTAACACTGAAGAAGTGACGTTTACTGTTTCTGTTGATTATCGTGAAATGAAACATGAGTGTTGATGAGGTGTTCAGTGCCGTATACGGACAATATTTCCATGAAAAGGATGATGAAAACGATGATGAAAACTATGAAGAGAGCGATGATGATGAAGACGAAGTATGTGTATCTCAGGCAGAAGATGATACCGAACAAACTTTTGTTAAGATGGACCTGTATGTATGTATGTATGTATGTATGTAACGACAACAAAGAAAAATACATAAACTACTCAGCATTATTATTTTTGGCCCATAATACGTTTTTCTAGTGTATAATCATGTCTTTATAGCTTATAATTCAATGTATTTTGTTCATTACCAATAAATTATATTTTGTCGTATTTTTACTCTTCCTTCTCTACATTTTTAGTACACTTCTAAGCAAGTTAGGATTTTCTGCTTTTCACCACGTGAAAAAGCATCTCATCTTCCATCCGAATCAACCAAAAAGTGAAAATTGATTTTTTGACACCTAAGCCCCCTTTCCGTAGACCAGGTCACATATAGTATTTTAAGTTTAAATGAAACCATTTCAAATTAAATGAAACCATTTTCAAACAAAGCGAAACATTTTTCAAATTAAATGAAACCTTTCTCAGGTCAAGCGAAACTTTTTTCAAATTAAATGAAACCTTTTGCAGATTCAATGAAACTTTATTCAAATTAAATGAAACCTTTTTCGGATTCAATGAAACTTTATTAAAATTAAATGAAACTTTCTTTTTTCGTTTACTGTGAATTCGCTGTTACGCGTTGGTTTTCTTTATGGTCAATATGTATTGAGTTAGTTATAGCAGTAAAAAATCTGCATTGATTTTTTCTAATTTATATATTTGTATTTTAAACTGCCAAAGTTTGTATATTTTTTCATATTCATATTCACCAACAATTTGTTTTTCATTCTAACTACTATGAATTCTAAAAACTATGAATTCGACCCGTTTCCAAGTATTTATTCAGGAGCTATTAAATAAAATTGAATCTAGATCAGAGCCATGGGCGCTACCAGAATGAAATTAGAGGTTGAGGGAGGGGTGGGACGCTCGAAACTATTAAGTTTTTCTATGGTTTTCAATAAAGGAGAGTATGCTGGCAAAAGATTCGGTAAGCATCCATTATTATCCACCATATCTCTTATTTATTGGGATTTATGAATTCTTAACTAAAAATGAATTTTGTAACTCTGATCATGGGCGTAGCCAGGTTGGGAGAGTGCTCGGGCGCCCTTACTTGCAAGTTGTCCCATGGGCGTAGCCAGAAGAAATTTATAAGGGAGCTCGAGGATAATGCCAGAATTTATAAATCCAAAAAATAAGAGATATGGTAGATGATAATGGATACTTACCGAAATTTTTTCCAGCATACTCTCCTATGTTAAACCCCATAAAAAAGGCATTTTCGAAGGTAAAATTCCATGCCCGATTACTATTAAGTAACACAATTACTGAGCGCAACATACATAGTTAGTGTAATTGAAGAAAGTATCACACTAATTAGTCAAAATGAGTGTGCAAACTATGTTATGGACGTGATCATCCAAATTCCGAGAGCGGCGAATGGACAAGCTCTTCATTAATTTTATAACGTTTTCGCCAGCAATTCACGTTCACGTTTGGTTTTGTGGTCGAAAGAAGCAATATCCTCTATTGCCGTCTTAAATAACCTGTCGAAAGCGTTATACCGGGAAGAAGTTCTTGCGGCTCGATGGTGAATCGTCCTTGAATCTGTATAGTATAGTTGGTGGCATTTTCCAGACTGGTGAGCAAGGCGCATCAATTACAGGTGATAGCGAAAGAAGCTATGCTTCTTCTTATGAGCACGCTTGTGTCAAATTATCGTCTGTTTTGCTTTATTTACATCTCCGCGTATACATACACATATACGTCTATATATACCCTGCAAACAAATGCTCCCGAAATCTTTAAAAGTGTCGGAAATTTGCTACGATTCTTTTAGAAATCTTTAAAGAAAAACATATGAAGTGGTTGACAAGAACTAGTAAAGAAATTTCTGTACGATTTCTTAAAGTAAATTATAAAAAAAATTGTGAAACCTTTCAGAATTCTATGAAATCCTGGTATGCAGGGTATACATGTACATACGAATATTAATAGATAAAGAAGATGTTGATGACACAAGGAGTTCATACCAACGGTAAATGTTGTTTTTGTACGATTGCTACAACCTGTAGTTGTTGAATCATGACTGGTGAGTATCATTGGTCCTTATTCTGTTTAGTCACCGTAAAGTAAGCACCGCAGTGGTGCTGATGGTTGATTTAACGGGGGTAATTTGACTTTGATCCCTGGTGCCGCCGAAATGACGATTTTTGGCTCCAGCACCACCTTGCGCATTTTTTGCAATAGTATTGTATATAATAAGAATGGTATATAATAAGAATGTGGAGTGAATAAGACGCATTTTTTTGCTGCTGCATTCAATCACGCTTTTATAACGTAATTACCGGCTTTAAATAAAATATTTGTACTTATATAAAGTTAATGGACTTTGTGCCAACATCCTCACTGCTGTAGCTGACAATTGTTTCAATCGTATTCTTATTAAATTGAAATTTCATTTTCAAGCAAGTAAGTGCAATTATGTCACTAAGAAAAAGTGCCCGCAACACCCACTCCCCTCAACACACTCCTTCTCTAAAATTGCAATGCAAAGGAGACAGTAAAGGAGTTAACAGTCCAACTACGGTTTGCTTGTTAGAGAGGCTCGAGGCGAAATTGGAAGCATCCATAGAGAATATTATAACGAAGATAAAGGAGAGCGAAGAGCGTGTGATGGAGAAAATTGGTGAAATTTCGGCTGAAATTACCAACTTAAAATCAGCAATGAAAGCCGTTGACAAGAGAGTGAGTGCGCTAGAGTCATTGCGCTACGAAAGTAATGACCAAAACAAAGAAGTCCTCACTTTATGCCAACAAGTTGATGAGCTTGAGAATGCGTTGGTGGCGACAGATGTCATTATTTATGGTGTTCCGCTTATAGCTAAAGAGAATTTAACTTCGCTGTTCTCTAAACTTTGCACATCGATTAACCTGACCCCAATGCCCGCCCGTTCAACTTTTCGTTTGCGCAAATACAACAGCAACAAGAAGCCTTCTCCTATTATAGTCAAGCTAAATTCATCATATGATCGTTCACTCTTATTTAAGGCGATTGCCGGCTTTTTTAAGGCAAATAGAACGTCGCTAACACTTCGCAATATAGGGCTCAATGGTGATGAGAAGATCTATGTGCATGAATGCCTTACGAATAAGAATCGTGAACTTATTCAATTTGCAACACGGCTGAAGAGACAAAAATTATTGGCGAGTGCATTTTCTATACGTGGACAAATATATGTAAGAAAGAATCTTAACTGTGAAGCAATAAAAGTACTGGATTGTGAGAGCGTTGAGCGCATTGCAGCTGCTTCCTAACTCAACACATTTTATTTACATATATACATATTTATACCTGCCATGCTTTGTGTGCATTTTCTATTGTTAGTGTTAATTTTATACTTTTTTAAGTTATGCTGTATTTATACCTCTTCTCACCTTAACCTTATGTTTCCCTTTTCGATCCCCATTCCCATTGTAACTGACCGTTTGCAAGCATCTCTTTTATTGCATAGATATGAGTAACAACCTGAGTGAGAACAATAACAATGATAATCTAAGACTAGCTCTTAAATATACGTGTGACTACCATACAGGGTTCAATGTTTGCCACTTCCATGCTCGAAGTTTAACAGCTGAAAAACTTGAGTATCTGAATTTAGCTTTTCATGACCTAAACATTGACGCAATTTGTGTGACTGAGACCTGGTTTAAGCCTTCTTTTTTGAATAGCGCATATACTCTGTGTGATTATTCAATTGTGAGGAATGATAGAACTACTGGTAACAGAGGGGGGGGGGCATAGCGATCTATCACAGAGCCGATCTCAACTTTAGAGTCATTTACAAATCTCACTCCCATGAAGCTGTCGAAAGCATGTTTGTTGAATGTTGTGATAATATACGAAAGTGTCTTATTATATGTGTATATAACCCCCATAAATCAAATGATCTTACCTCATTGTTTGCTAAAATTTCTGAATTATCCTTGGGCTATGTTCATGTTCTCATCTAATCAGCTATTGAACAGCTTTAACACCTGTGGTATTACTATCACAAACGAATATGCAACTCGGTTTGCACCCCACTGCAAGCGAAGTATGTTGGATCTTTTTGGTGTAAGCGTTGGTAGTAGCCCTGTGGGGAAAATCTCTAGTTCTGAACTGGTGCGCTTCTAGTACATTTAGACCCAGTACTGGTTCGCGATAAATCTCTTTTGCATGCAAGCAACTGGCGAAATTAACATGGCGATGTCCTAGGAAGTGTCAATTGCCCCCCGCGCATCCCTTCTTCG